ATCGTGTGTTTATTTGGACCTACCTCTCCTCTCTCTTTTGCTCACTCTCCTGTTGATTTGATAGACATTGACTTTCTGTTGCTCTGTGCTGCCTTTTCATGGTCGTATTTGTGGTCCACGTGCCAGGTTAAACGGATCAGCCAAGACTCTATTCAATCTTACAACTTCACAGAATAGTGCCCGGGTGTCAGGGCAAATGCAATAAAGACCACCTTTTGGTAAAGATTGCTTGTTTGTCGTGGAGTAATAGCAACTTCAAGTGGCATTTAAAGCGTGTATTCAGGTATAAGAGAAGCACAGTTTTAATGTAGCAAGTATTTCTATTTGTTCACTGGTGATGCTTTCTCTTGATAAGCTTTATCTCAGCTGCACATGTGGCTCCATAAGGGTGATCTTTATGTTCAAGTAAAGATGCATAATTCAGTGACACTGAATATAAAATGTGACATTCAATAGCATTTAAATATTGCATACCTATGTTTTGCAATCTTTAAAGAGGGATGCCAAAAAACAAACAAAAACACACACAAAAATTGATAACCAGATACTAAGATACAAAAGTAGTACTGATAGTATAGAAACTACTATTTTGAACAAAAAACTGAACACACTGATAGCATGTCATTCCCAAGCTTAGTTTTTGAATCTTCTTAACTATTGCTGGGTTTCAAATGGCCTCACAGCGCTTTAAGGGCCATTCATATTTAATACAGATAGGAGTAGCTAAAATGAATAATATTATAATCCCAAGTTTTGCCATAATATAGAAGGTGAATTTACCTTCTGCACATTTCATGGATATGGATATTTGATTGTTGTTATCTCCTCAAAAACATACCCAGAGTTGTGTTTTGTTTCATGCACAAATGTTTGAATAATCCTTTATGGCTTTCTTTAAAGCTGTCTACATCTCCAAAGTGCAAAAATCTCTGTTCTACTTTGTGAAGTCATGAAGTGGTAGTTTTTAAGTTAACAGCTACCTTTTATCTTGTGTTCAGTAGAGATTCACGTTTCCAGGGCTGAAATCACCCAAAAGATTCTAGTGAAGATGTATGGAGTTTAAAAACACAGAGGAGCACTAGCTGTATTACCACATGACATCACAAAGTGGAACACAGTGTTTTCAGTTTGAGAGAAGAGCTAAGCCTAAATATACAGGGTTTGTGTGTTAAACATGTATGAATGAAACAAAAGACAACTCTGTGGATTTTTTTGATGAGGAAACAACATTATAACATAGATCAGACATTAGTGTAATACGGGTTCATTAAAGAAAATTCTACTGTGTGTTGAAAATGTCCTATTGCTCAGAAAGGATTGTTTTACTGTAATCATATTTTTTATTATAGAAATAGTTAATATCGAGTATCTAGTTTTCCATTCTTTTTAGTTTTAGTAGGAAATTTAGTTTGGATCTCGACAACACTACTCCAATGAACCAAAACTTACCCCATCTGTCCTACTCCCGCCCTGTGCTGTGGTGCTGTTGGCAATCAGGCCATTTCTTCCACTTTTCCTTCTCCTATTCTTGTCTCTCTGTACTGGACACACATCCCTGGTCGCCCTGTGGAAAATAGCATTTTTGCATTGCCTGATTTTATTTTTCCACAATAGGAGAATGGTATAGTACCACAGTGACACAAATGTAGATTTCCGAGAGCGGAACACATCATTAAAGTCTTATTAGGTTGTTCCCACAGCGCAGCAGCAGCCACCAAACCCTGACTGCTCCTGCTGTTCCCCACTCTGCCCAAAGACATGCCACAAAGAACAGCTTATACCAATGTGCGGCATTCACTATACGCTCATTTGTACCACGATGGAGAAATCACAGTGGTCAGCAGGGATTGGCAAATAGTAGTAGTAGAGAAAATGCACATTCAACACAGAAAGCACAACCACTATGCAAGAATCAAATCCAGGATCTGTGAGACAAGAGTGCTTCATTTCACAAGCCACAAGTGTATTAAAGCTCCCATATTACGCCATTTTCTGATCCATTTCCTTATCAAAAACATACCTAGAGTTGTGTTTTGGTTCATTCACTCATGTTTAACACAGAAATCCTGCATATTTAGGCTGAGTTCTTCTCACAGACAGAAAACACTCATTCACACATGTTTGAATGACCCTTTATTATTCCACCTTGTGATGTCATGTGGTAATACAGGAAGTGTTCCACTGTGTTTTTAAACTCCACACACCTTCACTGGAATAATTTAGTTGAATTCAGCCCTGGAATTGCCGATCTCTACTGAACTAAAGGTAAAAAGTAGCTATTAATTTGAAAACTATTACTTTGTGATATCACAAGTTGGAACAACACTTTTTGAGCTTTGGAGATGTCAACAGATTAATAATAAAGGGTTACTCAAACATGTGTGAATGAAACAAAACAGAACTCTGGGCTTGTTTTTGATGAGGTAACATTATAACATGGCTTAAAGGTCACAAGAGTCAATTTTGTATATTATAATTCTATAATAATATAACGTATAGTGAGTGACATCAAATTTGTCAATATGTATAGACTTTTAAATGTTCTAATAAGTGAGTTAGACCACAGTTAGTCCACACAGAGCTGTCTTGGCTGCCAAAGCGGTCATGTGACCCCCCGCAGGTGTTAATGTCAAGCCAATGATCAATATCTGCTCACTGTGTTTTAACTGTTCAGGCAATTATAGTGTTTCCTGCTGCCACTGTATAAAATATTTACCACTGCTATAAAGAGCCCAAAGGGGACTGTAACATCTGACCTACTGCAAGAGTCAAAAAGGTTTATAAAGATGTCTTCACTTTAGTGTCTCCTCTCCAGATGTTATACAGTATACTGCCCACTTCCTTTTCCTGTTGTTCCAGCTCATGTCAGAAATTTGAATTAGTGCCAATTACTTGACAGCTGTGTTTTATGTATATGTACAGTGGAAGAAATCCTCAGATAATTGTCAAAAAGCAGTGTCTTTGTTCAGAAATTCTAATTTTATTATCCTTTTGTTTGAGCTAACATAGACTAATCCATAGGGCATCGTATATGTGTTAAATTTAACATGCAGAATATAGTTTTCTGTTCTCATTCTATTGTTCTGCCTGAAAGCTGCTTGGCAAGTGAAAGTACAATGTGTGTATGACAACAACGTCCAGAAGTTATCCACTTTCAAGGTGGTTTATTGTTTCAAGTCTGTTCTATAGGAGGCAGTTAGTTGATGCGATGGTGTGGAGGTTTGGGTCATGAGTTTGAGTAGGTTTACAATGGCAATAAAACTTTCCTGATTCTGATTCAAATTCCTTCGTCAGCAAGACTTAGCACAGTTCTGTATGTTTAGTAGCTTTTGTAAACAGACACCTGCTAGGGATTCCGATGAGATGAGTGTTAGAAGAGAGAGCACATCCAAGTTCCCAGTGCAAAAGAAGTTTCAAGCACTCATGGCCAAAACTACAAAACATATTTTCTTTTACGAAATGTATTACACAATCCAATAAAAACTAAAATGATTTTCTGAGTTAGAGAGCTAAAACGATATTATTCTTCTAATACTGAGGTCTTATGTCTGTGTGCGTGTTTAGCTGGTCATTGTTTCCAATGAAGCCTCTTGTTTGTCCCTGTGCGTTGAAAACAGGCGGTGCTGGGAGGAGAGAGCTGCACTTGACCTTTGACCCACACCCGTTATGAGGGCGGAGGGGGGTATTTTTAGTGCCTCCACCAAAGAGGATCAGAGCAAACACTAACCTGCTCGATATGTCCCTCCTCCAGGGTTTAACAGCACATCAGAAAAGAGCAAAAGTGTGTTATGTTCTTTTATCTTCAGACCTCCAGCACACCTCCACGCATATTGATTTTGTGGTGATAAATCTTTTTGCTTGGAAATGTCTGTGTGTGCACTGAGGAGGAACTTGTACTCCCCACAGGGATCACCGGTTAGCTCGTCTGACCAGAGAGACAACTGTCAACTTTAAACTCTGCGTAATGTGTGCTATGGTAATCGCTCTACAACACTGAGTTGGTTTTTGGCTTTCACAAAAAAAAAAAAAAAACATGAATTGAAGCTAGACCACAGGTGCCAAAACCTTTTTACTCAGTGAACCAAAATACATAAAAAAAATATGAAAATAACGTTTAAAAGAAATACGGCTAAATGATTGTATTTTTTAGAGAGATTTACTGCAATGGGGTCCTGTCAAAACTTTTCAGTGAAACTCAATCAAAATAGAAACAGATCTCAGGACCAAATAATAGCTGAACCAGAATTGAGTTAAGGCTAAACCAGATCCATAAATAAGCAACATGGTAGCAGAGTGGTTAGCCCTACCACCTCACAACAAGAAGACAATTTTTTAGTGAGGAGATTGTATGTTCTATAGAGTCTGTATATTGATTTCCACAACCTTCAAAAACATACAGGTCACTTCAGCTCATTGCAGACAGACCTTTAATTTGACTTGTGGAAATTCACTTCTTATTCACATTTGAGTACCTCTATTAACAGTTTGTGTACCTCCCATACTCTAAAAAGAAATGGATAAAGGGAGTGTAAGATCACCCATAGTGTTCGGCTTCAGTCAAATGAAGCTCAGTTTGGAGTCAAGTTCCATATTAGGAATAGGAATTCATTTACAGACAAAATAGTGAAATAAAAACACAGCAGGTTAATATGCACATTTTAAGACTAAAAAAGAGAAGTCTGACAGCAGCTGTTTGAGAGACAGGGGCGAATTTCACAATACAATACAGTTTCTCAATACAAAGTGATTTGAAGTCGATGGGGCCAGAATCACGTCCATGCTCAGTTCTTGTTTGGAATGCAGCACCTAGCGAGTTAACTATGTCCATTTACATATACAGTCTATTGTACCACCACTGGTCCCCATACCACAGTTTGAAAATCACTTTACTGTATTACAAACAGTCACATGTTTTTCTGCCCGGCCAATGCCTTGTAATGGGAGCTGCTTATCATGGATTTATCACACTGTAACCACGCTGGATCTGACTGACTGATTCATCTCAGGACAACACAAAAACAGGTCAATACAGACTGACCCTGTCCCCTGACCTGAACCCTCCCAGTCTGAATCTTCATTACGCCACCACTGGACTGACTTTAATGGAAATCCTCCGAGCCTGGGTGAGATTCTTTCTAAGATTAAATCATTTTGAGACATATGGGAAAGGGGAGAAGGTGCTCTAAATTCTAATTGGACCGTTACAGCTCACATTTCAAAGATAGGTCAGTATATGCACCTGAAACACAAAGCTGTATTAGATAATCACATCTGGTGCAGTTTAATGTCGATGACTGCAACAGGGCTTGGCTCTTCCAGTGAAATCTTAAAATCAGAAACACTTTCACAAGATGCATGCCATGAACTATAAATCAATAGTGCTTGGATTGAAACAAGTTAGAAGTTTGCAGGGAAAAAATGTTGAGATATAACAAAATAAATGACACGACTCCATTGAAAATTGATTTATAAAGATTGATGAGAGATGCTTAATGTATTCTCTCTTAAAAGTTTTCTTAAGTTGACAAAATTCAATTTGCGATTATTATTAAAGATAAAGATGAATGACTAAATGGGTAAAATCCATGGCTCCCTCTTTCTTCTGATGGATCTGTAACTCCTGCCTTCTGGACGCCAATGAATAATTTAAATTGCATGGCTAGTAAATATATACTTTAGAAGCCTGACTGCGCACAAGTTAATGGATATATGTATTTTAGGAATATAATTGTACCTAATTTATGACTGGTTGTTACCATTACATCATTTCAGTTTCTTGTAACCATTATCAGGAATTTTGTTGTGTAAAAAAGTTAAAGATTAGAGATAGATCAATATATCAGTTGGTCAATATGTCTGGCTGATATTTGGACTTTTTAGCGTATGGGCTATCATGCTTAAATCTCCTGTATATTTTGTTTTGATCAATCTGCTGCCTAAAAATACACACAAAGCTTTATATGAACACTTTAATAAGAAGAGCTAGCTGCACAAACCGTGACCACACATCTCTGTTATATGTTTGAAGTAAAAAAAAAAAAAAGCTCTGGGTGAGTATGTAATAAATCTAAAGGTGCATTTTGTAACTTTTCTGGTGGAATGTCCGTCACAACCTTTTCTCCATGGAGTTGTTATTGCTTTGTCTGGAATGTTTCACAGTATACTTTTAAATCTCTATATCTTCACTGAGACAAAACCAGACTAAGTTACAGATCAGATCTGTGGAGTAGGACTATAAGATGATACTTTTTTCTCACACTTTGAATCCTGCATCTTATACAACGATGCGGCTAATATATGGACAGATTATTTTTGACACATTGTCCATTCATATATACGGTGTACGGTTTGGCAACACAGCAGATGTGCTTGCAGCCTGAGTGCAGAAAACACCGCTGTCTGTGCGGTTAACACATGGATCCAGGGTTAACATGAAGTTGCAGCGTTTGCTAGTGATGTTATCAGCACTAAAATGTTTATCGTCATGTGATAAAATAAGTTATGATGCTAAATTAACATTAATGAGGGGGATATATCTTACCTGTATGCGTTAAATGCAAGTGAGTCCGTACATGACGAGAAGAAACATCTCAAACTTCAATAGTCGGACAACCACATATATCTGATCAATACAAATAGCTCCGCCCCCAAGAGAGCCTGAAATTTCCTGAAATCCTACAAGGCACAGGACAACAGCTCTTTCTGCAGGAGACATGCACAGTAGGGCAGGGGGCAAGACGGGGGTGATGTGCCGAGGAAGATACGCATTTGATTGTGTTTTGAACAGTTATTTTGCGCCTCATGCACACACCGGCTTATATTCAGGTACGGCCTATATATGTACAATTTAAAAATTTTGTTAAAATTTAGTTGATGCAATTTATATTCAACTGCGCTCAATAGTCCAGAAATTATGGTATTTTTGAACAGTAAAACCACTCATCATTGATTAAATTGAGCTGTCTAATGTCATAATGTGAAACATCAAGGCAGAGAAATTGCATATCCATAGAAACAAACAGGTGACAGACCCTCAACTCAAAAGTTACATAGTGCACCTTTAAATTACATAATTTGAGGAAAATAATTCACCCCAAAATATCGGCAGAGATTATTGGCCATCATTTGCTCTGGATTGTAAACATGAAAAAAAAAAACAAAAAAACAAAAAAACACATACATCTGTCTACCTCTGTTGGAGACCTGCCATGTTCCATCTTTCAACATAATGCAGTGTAGATGTGTCTTTCCATTGGACTCCATTGTTGAAACCTGATTATGTGCATTACTTACAGCAGGTGATTCACTGAAAATGACGACGCTGTTAGCTGTTGTACCGTCATTTTGTATTTATATCCAGGCCTGATTCATGGCGGGGGTTGTGGTTTCCAGTGACCGCGCTTGTGCATGTAGATGAGCTCATGTTGAGACAATAACACCAGATTTACCGGTGAACGTATGCAGATCGCCTCTTCTTATTTGGGCCCAATCAGGCGTTATGAGTAGTCCCTTTATTCCCACAGCCGGACCAGAGCAGAGTACACAAGATAAGATAAACCCCGCACATGTAGATGGACAAAGACACTCATTTATTGATAAAAGGTAAAAGGTGTGACATAGAAGTTAATTATGGAGGGAGTGTACGCAGATATGTGTAATGAGCTTGTGTTGGTACTATCATACCAGTGTAATTATGTGTTACAATGGCATTTTCAAGGGCATACAGTGATATTTTATCAACATATGACGTTGGCCTGTCACTGTATTGAATTTTGAACATGAGATACAGTACTGCTACAGAGGATTATTATGATAAACAATAATATTGAAACTACTTTATGCCACTGACACTAAGCAGGATAATCCTAGAGAACCAGTTTTTATAGAGTTTCATTATAAGGCCTTAGCTTCAACAAATAAATGGCAGTAATTAGTGATAGAAGTAATTTATTCTAGCCTCCACAGCTCAAATCTTAGTGTATTACATCAAAATGGCAGAAAATCTCCCCACTATCACGAAGAAAATGTACATGATAAAAATATCAAATATCAAAATAATATTGTTCCAGCTGTCATATATTAAACAAGTCAATATAGTGATTATCGTGACAGGCCTATTATGAGGGAAGAAAAACACTCTAATATATTTTTAAGTATTTGTGCCATGCCTTGTGAACTGTAGTATTTCTGGTGTAAATATTTGAGCTCATCTTGGATTTGAAGTGGACTCTAAGCGACACAAGGACAGTTGCTGAGTGAAGTGTGTTAGTCCCTCATTCAAAGTGCAGCAGGTCCAGAGAGACATGCTGGACTGCAGATACACATGTTACGTGGCATTGTAGAACATGATTAAACTCTTGTCATGTTTTCCTTGGCCTAGTTTGTTGTAGAGAAAACTCTCTTATTTTGTTATTGTAGATTTTGCTCTGCGTAAGAGCGGCCCTGCTGAGGTCAGTGTGTTTTTGAACTCTGAGCTTGTGCACACACAAGAGGACATTGACCTCCATCATAAACATGCACCATACTTTAGGGTAAACAGGAAAATCACCACTTTGTCTAGAAGATTTAATTAAGTGTCACACATGTGATGGCTTCTTTAATGAACATGAAATAGTTTTGATATAAAATTGTTGCTATTTGCCATCTGTTCCACTATTAGAAATGTCATAGTATCAGTTGTGTCTTCTACAGGAACAATGAGCAAGAATGAATTCAGTATGTGGCCTTATTTGAAATGGTCTCTGTGTACCACTGGACTAGTAGTTAATAATGTACAAATCTACATACACCTATAGGAACATACTGTATGTAAGGATGTAAGGAAAAGACCGGTAAGGACTGGTTAGGGTAGGTTGGATTTTGTGGGAAATATATACAAAATATTGCAATTGGTACTTGAGTCTAATATATTTCAAGGCATGTTTTTGATGGATTGCTATATCACCTTAGTAATACCATTGGCAGGCAAAGGAAAAAAAAATCCTATTTATGATCAAGTCCAAGTCTCGATCATAAGACAAAAAAAAAAACAGATTTTCTCATGTAGGCCTAATAAAGTAAAATATGTTCACAACTGAGACCACTGTACACTGTCTGCATCTATTTATAAAGATTAGATGCAAATAAGGAAGTAACGCTGGTGGCCTTTGACGGTTGTGCTTACACTCATTTCAGTGAAAAATTAGACAGTTAGGATTGAGTTAACACAGAGTTGAATAAGTTTGGACTGCTGCTATGTACAAGTTTTGATTTTGATGTTTTTAAATCAATTACAGTGCTTTCATAAAGTTGTAAAAAAAATTGTGTTCATCGTTAAAATTTGAGTTTGAGCCAGTGTAAAAATGAGCAATTAAAGTAGTTTCAAACAAACAAAACACAATAAATCTACTACATAAGGATACAACTCAAAAAGTTACTGCCCAGCCTGAGACTACCCCAAACTCCAAATTCAAGGTTGCACACCCCTCTCTCTAGTGACTTGGGCGCCTCACCTCCCTTTTTACTGCTCAGTCCTGTCAGAACTCATCTCCTCTGCACTTTTATACGACCTAAATGCACCCCCCTCGTCATCCTCGCCCTGGACCAGGTTGTCACAAACTAAACTCATCAAATATTCAGCCCGCAAAATACAGTCTGCTCCCTCATGATGACTTATGTTTTTTTCAAATGCTACAGACATGGGATGGGTCTATCAGTACAACACATCTTATCTGGGAGCATGTGGCAGACAGGGACATTTCAAATCACTCACCATGGAGATTAAAGTATTTATCAGCGCTGCGCTAATCCCGTCGACCATCTTCATATCATTAGAGGATTTATAGATTTATGAAAACGAGTGGGGAATGGCACATGGAGCACAGATGTTACTTGTATAATCAGGATATAATCAGTTGCATTTACATAGGAAACATTTGAAGGCAGTGATTTTCTGACAGAATTTTGATGTGTAAAGTGTTTTGATAGGCTTGTCATGATAACAGATTTTGAAGCATGATATATTACTACTGAGTTGTGATAAATGGTTATATTGAAACTACTTTATGTGGCCGTAACAGCATGTCAAAGCCGGATCCCGTCAGATCTCAGAAGCTAGGCAGGTCCAGGCCTGGTTAGTACTTGG